CTGTATCGTTCTTAACGCAAAAATAAACAGCTGAGTGCGGCGCGGATTTAGGAAACGCGGGATGAACCGAGCCCAGCACGCACGTCACGACACCGCCTGAGCTCTCCTACGTACACCCGCCGAGTTCCGTGGCCTCGGCCCGTCTGTACTCGCTGGCTGGGTACACCCCCGACCTCCCACCTTCCACATGCCGACGTACCATTTAATACCCATTTTTATTGGGCTCCCTCTTCACTGGAAGAGTTTGCTGTCCTTTGGTTTGGGATTGGGCCTGTTGGGTCCAACCCCGGGAATTTTGATTCGTGTAAAATAACGCCAGTAAGGAAGGCGGGAAATTGTTTGAAAATTGGGTGGCGAGGCATCTCTCTCAGAGGTGCTCCTACCTGAGCTGTTATGAGGGGCATCGCAGCCATCGAACTAAAGCCGTTCTCTAACTATTGTCCGTCTCGTACTGCATTACACTGCTCTCTTTAACGTTAACAGATGACTGAAAAATGAACTTTCGAAAGAACGTTTCTAAACTAATGCACACCCAGGATGAATTTGGATACTGCAACGTTCGAACAAAGGCCAGGCGGAAATGTTTGCAATCAGGTGCAATGGTTATCTCTCTTTTCTATCCAATCGCCTTTGGCCGCTCCTATACACGCACGCACCTGTAAACACCTCACGCAAACACGCACGAACGCATACTCACAAATTCATGCATAAACCTTGAAAAATAAATATAAAACCCCCAAGGATATTAACGTATAGTGAAAGAAGAGATTTAAAGAAAAAATGGATGGATTTAAAATCAAATACGAAAACATTAGCAAACACAATTATGACTCCCCTAAAAATCAAATTAAGAAAATATGCAATCATAAAAGCGAGAAGGAAGTCATGAACTACACAGCACTCGACGGAGGAAGGAAAAGCGAAATGGAAGGAGAACGAAAGAAAGGATCGAAGGCCAAGGAAAGGAGGGTGGGGGGGCGAGGGATGTAGGTAAGGCTGGCTGTAGGTAAAGAAGGCGAGGGCAAGAAAGGGGGAGGGGGAGAGGGTGATGAAGCACCCCTGGTGGGTAAGACGCACTGCACAATGTGTCAGGATTTATGGTCCCTCTTGTCCGAATTCGGTCTAATGCTGTCCAAAAAAAAAAATCGGATACGGTCCAAACTATTTCCAAAAACGACATCCAGCAAACCATCATCATCAACCGGGTCTTAATTCATCATAAGATTTTGAATTTCCACGCACTAAAGCAAGCACCAACAAAACTTCATAATTCAAAACAAAACACGATCTTATTAAACCTCAAACGCCATTCCACCCCCTCCCTCCACCCCCCCCCCCCAAAAAAAAAATAATAATAATAATAATAATAAATCCACAAGAAATCCTGTCCGAGAAGCCAGCGTGCGTAATCCAGCGACCCCCGTTTTCTATGACGCGCCGATCTCGTGCTCCGGAGTGAAAACCTAAGAGTCTTATGGAGCGATTTATCATATTTCACCCGCCGTATCATTTTAATCGGGGATGAGCTTACCTGAGCGGATTCTTCCGGCGAGGGGCGAGAAGCTACAAAATGTTCACGAGGTCAAAAAAAAAATAAAATAAATAAAAAGAAAAAGAGGAAGAGGTAAAAATAAAAAAAAAAAGAAAAACAGTTCTTCAAAATACGTGACATGGATATATTACCACATCTACTCCTTCATAAAAATCATCTCCGACAGTGATCCATTTTCAGCAGACGTCAATAAAACAGCAAAGGCAACGAACTGGAATAATAAAGCAACTGACTAAACACAGGAAATACGACATAAAGGAAGAGAGGGCGCTATTAAGATACCCGAACTGGAGAACAAGTATACGACCAAAATAAACCGATAAAATAAAAACAGAGGAGTGAAAATGACACACATCGAGTAATTGGAGAAGGAAATAGAAAACGGAGAAGAAAAGAAAGGAAAAAAAGGGGGGGAGGCGCGCACATGCAAAGAAAACGTGCGAAAGAATGATCAAGAAAAAGAGGGTGAAAGAAATGGAAAAAAAAACGGTTGACCTGTTTATGATCAATATTTTTTTTCAGTCTTCAAATTTAAGTCAAATATGTCAGGGCAGGATTCAAGTTTTTTTTTCCTTATTTTTTTTTTTTCCTTTTTTAGTCGTCTCTCCCAGTTAATAGCGTAATAAGGGCGACATCTTCACCTGTCTCTAACCGGGAATGACCCTTAACGAGGCAATACACAGAGTCTTGAATGTTTATACTTCCTTCGGTGGGCTTAAGAAGTAATTGGGGGGAGGGGGAAGGGGTGGGAACGGGGGGGGGCGCAAAAGGAGGGGGAAGGGAGGGGGTGGGAAGAGGTGAGAGAAAGGGGTGGGAGGTGAGAGGAAGGGGAGGGGGTGAAAGAAAGGAGTGGGAGGGGGTGAGAGAAAGGGGTAGGAGGAGAGGGGTGTGTGGGGGTGATGGGTAGGTAAGAGACGAAGGAATGTGGAAGGGGAAGGGGGTGAGAAAGGAGGGGGGAGGGGAAGAGGAAGAGTTATTGACTTCGGATGTTTCTTCGATCTTTATGATGTTTGTCATGCTATAATACAGTGTGCAGATGCAGGGCAACACAATAAAATGGAATAACGATGGCGGTGGTGGTGGTGATGGTGATGGTGATGATGATGATGATGATGATGATGATGATGATGATGATGATGATGATGATGATGATGATGATGATGATGATGATGATGATGATGATGATAATGATGATGATGATGATGATGATAACGATAATGAGCAAATGGTAATAAAACAAATAACCACACATGAACCTGTACAAGCCAAGATTTTCAAGACAACAAAGGATGCAATCAAACCCCAATAACTCTTCCCAATAGAGTGACCTTCAAAGCCAATGCACAGTAATTGGTTTAGAGTACGTAACTCACCGCAGGAACACGCAGCGCACGTCATCTTACCTGGAAGGATAAAAACAAGATTAATATGGCAACATTAATATAAATTTGATAATAATGATGATTATGATGATGATGATAATTATAAGAATAAGAGTAACACAAAATAAATAAATACAAAATAATAATACTGGTAATATTAGTGATAATAATATTGATAATATTAATAATAATAATAATAATAATAATAATAATACTGTTAACAAGAGCAATAACAACAATAACAATAACAATAATAAAAACAATAATAATAACAGCAATAATAAAAGCAACACAAATAATCACAACAACAAAAACAGTAAGTAAAAACAAGCGCCACAACAAGCCAACGACAGCATCAATAACGGCATCAACAACAACAACAAACCAACAAGAAAAGCATACTACAAGGTGAGCCTCTCTTCCTTCGCAAAGACCGACATACCCCCTTACGACACGCTGACAAGTGACCATCCCAACACACCGCATCACCCGCATGACACCTGCATATGACACCCGCTTGCCTGACACGAGGAAACCACGTGGACGAGTTGGAGCAAAACGAACCCTTTGCTGGAGCCGCTAATCCCTCGGTGACCTCGCCGGCCGGACCGATCACTTCCTAATCGCCAGGAGCTGTGAGAATCCTTTGATCCCCTTCCCGTTGTTGGTGTTTGTTTGTTTGAATTTTTGTTTGAAGTTTGATTCTATTTTCCATCCAACTTTTTTTTTTTTTTTAACTTTCGTTCCTCTTTCCTTTCTTCCATTTATTCTTCCTTTCCTCGGGTCATACATTGTCTGGCATCCATCCTTCTCTCCTCTCTTCTTCCTTCTTTATTATCCATATATCTATCCTTCCATCCCATCTCATGCCTTTCCTTCTCTTCCTTCCTTTCTTACAATCCTTCCCTCCTTCCGCCCTCCCCTTCTTCTGTTATTCCTTCCTTCCTTCCTTTCCTTCATCCATCCACCCTTCCTTCCTTCATTTCCTTTCCTTCATTTCCTTTCCTTTCCTTCATTTCCCCTTACTTTAGTTTCCTTTCCATTCCTTTAGTTTCCTTTCCATTCCTTTACTTTCCTTTCATTCCCTCCCTCCCTCCTTTCCCTCCCTCCCTCCTATCCCTCCCTCCTTTCCCTCTCTACCTTCCCTCCTTCCTTCCTTCCTTCCTCCGCGAACCTCCTTAAGAGCGAGAGCAAGCATGGCCGACCCCGCTAAGCCGCGCTGTCACTTCCAGGGATTATAAAGCCATTATCAGCGCCATCTATCTTTCGTCCTGACACATTTATCCTCCCCGGTAGCCGCGACAGACAACCGGAGGACAAAGCTCTCTTGTTCCGACATGGACTTCCACACTGCGAAATAAAACGCACAAGCCCTCAAATTCCTTAAAATCAACTTAGGACTCCCGTGGGAAAAGTACTCGTCGCCGCGTGCAAAAACAGACAAGGAAGGGAGACATTTTTGCGTGGGCGAGGACAGAACACTCGAGAGGAAAAAAAAATTACACTCGACGTGTAATTTCAAGCGTTTCTCTTCCGGCGAATCCTTTGTGATTTATTAGCGACGCTGACTAAGGGTACGTGTATGCTAATTGTTATGGCAGAGGGAGCGGCGTGCGCGTGTCTCGGGAAGATTTGCATAGCCTGGGTTTGTTTGGAGGCGTGTCTCCTCGGGGATACAATATGCCGGACGAAAGTTTGGATATCGTGTATGTGTATGTGTATGTATGTGCATGTGTATAGTTATCTATATGCATTAAAGGATTAAGAAACATAGTGTGTGTGTGTGTGTGTGTGTGTGTGTGTGTGTGTGTGTGTGTGTGTGTGTGTGTGTGTGTGTGTGTGTGTGTGTGTGTGTGTGTGTGTGTGTGTGTGTGTATTACTTGTTATGAAAAATGTTACGGTGTCAATAGCTATAAGACAGGAACATTCTATGGAAAAAGATTCTAATTTACTGATATATAAGAGATAATCATATGTAGCTACTGTAGGTGAGATAAAATCATGTTTAATCCAATGTCAAAATTTTCATATTGCTTCATACCCCCTCCCCCCACCCACCCAGAAAGTACCCTGTGGCCCCCAGGTCAGAAATCCCTGCCCTAGGAGGTCCTCAAGAGAAAGGTCAGTTACGTACACGTGTATATACGGAAACCCTAGCGTGTACACATAGCAACTCACGCACATTAATGATGTCTCACC